GGGGGGGGGGGGGCCTGTGTGCATGTACATGTATGCGTGTGCATCGGGACATACCGTAAAACGCTTGGAGCGGGCCTCCAGCTCGGTGCGGGTCTCGTGAGCAACAATCGCCGCATCGGCCGAAGCATGCGAGGCTCGACTCTGGGAGTCGGCCTTGACAGCGTTCAGGGCGGCATCGACGGCATTCTTAAGGTCCGACGCCGCAGACGACTTGGCCGAGGGATCAGACGGCGGCATGGTGTTGACTCGGAAGAAGCGAACAGGAGTCGGGAAGTCAAAAGATTTGGATGGGGATGGGGGGGTGCGTAGGATGGCACTAGCGGGCGCGCCGCATCAATGAAAGCCTTTGAGAAAGTGCGGGGGGGGGGGGGAACGAGAGGGGTCAGAGCCTGGAATTATGGGCAGGGAGGGGAAAGCCAAGACACAGGAGAGAGAGAGGGAGAGAGGGAGGCAACGGGGATGATATACCTGTGCCAGAGGGAGGAAATGCGCCCAGGACAAGGCAGCCGAGATGAGCTTTAGGCGGGTATATAAGGGAGGGGGGGGGAGGCGGCGAAGTGCAGCTCGGTCCAGAGAGGTCAAAAGCAACCGGCCTCGGATCGCGCGCTCATCGAGAGGGGGCGCCGGGAAGGGGTGGGGGAGGGGGAGGGGGAAAGGCAGTCCAGGCGGAGAGAACAAGGGCGGCAATGGGAGGCGAGAGGGAGGAAGAATGAGGGGGTGAATAGGTCAGGCCGACAGGGGTCGGAGACATGGACTTGGAGCCACTAATATTCCGGCCCCCTGCGTGTATGGCGTGTCGGTGCACGTCTCCGGGCAGGAGGGGGAGAGAGAAAAAGAAAGAAGGAGGGGGGCTCTCGCCCCCGCCCCCCCCCCCCCCACACCCGCCCCCTCCAACCAAGAAACCCCTGCCCGAGGGGGTGGGCCCTGCGCACAGGTCATGGCCTCGGCGCGGGAGAGCCTGTGCTTGCAAGTGTGTTCAGCGAAATTCGCTGCCCGGCTGGGGCGTAAATATGGGGGGGGGGGGGCGACCGCGCAGTTTCGAGGGAGCCCCAGGCCGGCCCCGCGCGTAACGCGGCCCGGGGTGCAGGTGCTCAAACAGGCGCCCGCGCGTCTACACGGAAACGAAGTACGTACGGACCACGCGCGGAGAATGTGCCCCACCCCCGCCCGTCGCCCCCCCCCCTCCCCCTAACGCCCCTCAAGCCCCGGTCCCTCCAGGGAACCAGCCCGCCGAGGACCGGGGGCGGGGCAGAACGCCCCGGGGCCACGACCGTCCGAAGGGGGGAATTGGGTGCCCATATTTCCTGCCTCTGTGCCCTTGCTTCCCCCCTCCGCGGGTGCGGGCTCCCGCGCCAGGCGGAGCGCTCGGTCCCCGGGCCGCCGGGGCCGATCTCCGGCGCCGGTGGCCCACGGTTCTTGATGAGGGGGGGGGGGGGCAGTCAGAAGGCAGCCGCCGGGCATCCGGGCACTTGAAAGAGGGTTGAAACGGTCGCCGCCGGTGGGTGGTTGGTTTTCTCACGAGAGAAATGGATGGCGATCGTGAGGGCATGCGCGCGCACGCGTGCGCACCCGCCCGCACGGACCCACATACACCCCCGCATGCCCCGGCCAGTCAGCTCACCGGGGACGAGCCCCACAGGCGTACAGGCCTCCCCTTGGTCATGATGCGGGCTGGCACGATCTTCCTCCCAAAGTTCCCCTCACGCCCTGAAGCCGTGTGCTACCGCCCCCCGCCCCCCCCCCCCCCCTGTCCCCGCCTCGCACCTGGCGGCGGGCATTGTGCATCCCGGGATCACCGTCCAGCATTCTCCCCTGGCAGGCATTCCCCGGACTATACCCGCGGGGCGCTGCCCCGCCCTCCCCCGCGCCCGGGGCTCTCTCCCCCTACCCCCCCCCCCCCAGCCCCTGTAGTCCGCCGCTCCCCGGGCGCGTCCGTGTGGCGCAGGGTCTTCCCTCTCTCCGCCACCCACAACGCCAGGATCATTTCTTGGCACCCCTCCTCCGCGGGGACACAGGGACCCCGGTTGCACGGCCGGGGGCGGACCGAAGTCTCCGAGGAACCCATCCGCCCCCGACAAGCGAAACGCACGGGGCCACCGGCACAGAAGGGTGGGAAAGCTCGCCGAGGGGCGTGGCCAAGCGAGCGAGAGCAAGAGAGAGAGAGAGAGAGAGAGACAGGGAGGCGAGAAATGAGCCCCACCTCCTCGGAGCTATCACCGAGCCTGTGTGCACTCGTCGACATCGGAAGATGGACCCCTCGCAACAAGGTCCTGTCGAGTCTCTTTGAAACCCCACCTGCCTGAGCGGGAGAGCCCAAAAAGGAGCGGCGGACATGGCCTGCCTCGAGGGGGGGGGGGGGGGGGCGAGGCAATCCCGGCTTTTGTAAGGGACCCAGCGAGAGCAAGCGGGATGACCAACAGTTTATCTAAGCCGCCCTGGCCGGCCGGGATCCCCGGCGGCCTTCCGACAAGGGCGATCTGGTTTGGGGCCTTGATTTCGTCTGTCCCCCCGCCCCTCCTCGGCCCCCCTCAGCCCGAAGCATTCTCCGATGCCTCACGCTCTGGGCTCCCCCCCCCCCCGCCCCCTTCCCCTTGCCGGCCTCCTGGCACAGCTGCTGCTTCTCTCCGGGCAAGAGGACAACATGGACCCCCCTCTCATATGACGGAGCACAGCCCCGCTTGGGCAGGCGCAGCGAAAAGCGGAAGGAGACTCCTGGGAGGGGAGGAAGGCGAGAATGTGCCCTCCTGGTCAGTGGGAAGAGAAAATTACCCGCCCCTGCATGCCCTCGGGATTAATCCGCCCCCATCGGGGTGGTGGCCGGAGGGCCCGAGGAAGATGGCCCGCTCATCCGAGTCCCCTCGAGCTCGGTGGGCTCTTCTGCCTGGCATACACATGCCTGTGGCTGCCAACATATTGATGCGCGCATGCTCGCCTGGCAGTCCGGGTAAGCCAGGAGCATACCTAACAACAACAGACAGCGGCCGGGGGGGGGAGGAAGCGGGGGAAGACACCAAAGGCGTGAGAACCTCGCAGGCGACCTCTGCATGACCTCTCCCTGCCGGGCGGAAATGACCCGGCAAGGCACTAAGGGCGCGTGACCGACCCCCCCCCCCCCATCCCCCTCCCCCGCCCTGTCCCGCCCCCCACCGCTCGCCGGCCCGCAGGCTCGCTGGCCCTCTCGTGTCCACCCCTCCGTCGGGGAGACCACAAAATGGGTGCCGTCGAGAATCCCCCGACCCTCGAACGGGCACTTCGCCAGCCGCCCGCCTTTTTTTGTCAAGCAAAGGAGTGCAAGCCCCCGGCAGTGTCGGAACCTTCCGCGCGGACCCAGTCCGGCTGGGGGGCACATGCTCAAGGAGATGGAGCGCAGCCTGAGGTGGATCGTTGGCACTTGGTCTCAACTCCCAGTGCATCGCCACCATGAGATCTTTGCAGCGGATTGCCCCGCCCCCTGCCCCGCCCCCTCCCCCCCAACCGAAGGCGCCTGGACGTGCAACCACATACACTGCCAGTGATCATGGCCTGGGCCTTGTTTGCCGCCCACTTGCCACCCAAGGGCGTGAAATGCCCAAGGAAAGGGAGACGACAGCGGAGGGCGCGCTCACCTCTCGACGGAGGGCCTGGCGAGACACCGCAGGGAGAAGCCACACCGTGCAGAAATGACACGGTGCGGGGGGCCGAAGGGAGGGAGGATGAATGTGCTGATTGGCCTCCCCCCGGGCCTTTCTTCTGCATTGGCACACGGCACGCGCGAGTCGAGAACCCATGCACAAGCGAGTATATTCGCGACATTGGGGCAGGATGGGAGGGAGGGCAGCCGGCAGCGAGGAAAGGAGGAAAGAGAGGGAGAGAAAGAAAGAGCGCGATGGAGGCAGAAGAGGAGAATAAGGCACGCGTGGGGCGGGGATACACAAGGACAAGGCAACGCGCGCGCGCGCGCACACACACTCCACACAAGCAAGGAACATGCAATGTATGTGTGCGGGGATGTGCGTGTGATGTGTGCACATCCGCCAGTGACACGATGCATGCGAGGCGCGCCTGCCCCTCCTCTCCCCCTCGCTCCATCCTTCAGGCAAGGTCCACATCCTCCGAAGAGGCCAGCATCTCCTGGTCGTCGGCCGAAGACATGGACGCAGTTGGAGGGGACATGCTGGCGGCACTGCCCCCATAGTCCAGCGCCGAGGCCAGGGAGTCCAACCCGGCAGTGGCGGAGGTGTGTGCCCCGCCGGTGTCGGCGACCGCCGCCGACGCCGAGGCCGGAGAGGAAACACTCGCCGCAGCCAGCGGGGATGGGCTCCGCTGTTCCTGCGGCTGCTGGTGCTGAAGCGACCGCGAAAAGTGTGCCTCCACCGCCAGCAGCGGGTCGGTATACGTCCGCATGACCTGAGCCAGCTGAACACTGCCAGGGCCACCGGCAGCCGTCCCGGCGTCAGTCGTGTGGCTGCCACTGGGCGAAGCCGGAGACCCCGGATGCTGTTGCTGCTGCTGCTGCTGCTGCTGCTGCTGCTGCTGCTGCTGCTGCTGCTGCTGTGATGGCGGCTGCGCTTGTGAGAGCTGCGACGTGTGGAGAAGGGGCTTGCCTGCGACAGCTGGCCCGTCGGAGGTCTGTTGGTTGCTGGCAGCCGCCGCGAGGAGGGCATCCAGTGGCAACTTCTCCGGCAGCAGACCGGCGCTCAAGGCACTGGCCAGAAGCCCAGCACTGGACAGGCCAACATTGCCCCCGAGCTCGGCACTGACCGGCGCCCCGGGGGAAAACAAGCCGGCCGATCCGGGCGCCATGCCGGCGCTGAAGGCTAGCCCGGCGGCGGGCTGGGCATGCGGGTGCGTCGCCTTGGGCGTCCCTGAGGGTCCAGAGCCCAGGGTTGGTGTCAGCGCGCCACTGGTGGCGGAGAAAATGTTCCCGGAAGTGGGGGCAATCGGCGAATGGAGATGCATCTGCCGTAGGCGTTGGTCGAAGTCATCGCCAAGTTCCGACCGGAGGTGGGCAACTGCGAGGCAAGGGAGCACGCCCAGAGGGGGGGGGGGGGGCGACGGGTATCATGAGGAAGCAGGGCCAGATGACCAACAAGAGAGGAGCCAAGTCAATACCAAATGCGGACGGTGAAAAGCAACGAGATGTCGAAGGAGGGGCCCCGCGTGCGAATGCGAGGAGGAAGAGTATCCCAGAGAGAGAGAGAGAGAGAGAGAGAGAGAGACGCAAAAGCGGAGCGATCTAAAAACACGACGCACGGGCCAGAGGGCTGCCGATGCCCGGGGTGGTGGTCGAACCAGCGCGCGCGCCGCCAAGATGGTGCTCGCCGCCAAAGGTGGACACGGTGCTGGAAAAGAGCGGCGCTGACAGGGGCGAAGCCGGCGGGAAACCCCCGGCCGAGGCGGGAGCCCGCGGCCCGACGCCGAACAGCGGACTCCCCTGCAAATGCGGATGCAATGCGAGCCCAGAGCCAGGCCCACTGCTGCTGCTGCCGCTGCTGCCGCCGCCGGCACCGCCATGGCGAGGCAATAGCCCAACCATTTGCGCATCCCCCGAGCCGGCCATCAGGCTGCCGGCCTGGGAAGGCGGCTGCGTGTGCGGCGAATGGGGGATCATCAGGTTGGGCAGGAGTGATCCCGAGCCAAGGGCCGACAGCGAGGGAAGCAGGCCGGCGCTGCCGCCACCGTCCAGGGCCGTGGCCGTCGTCCCAGCTGCATTGAGTGCCTGGATGCCACCAACTGACGAGGTTGATGAGGAGAAGAGCAGCGCCGAACCACCGGCGCCGGCGCCTCCCCCGAGGGATCCTGACATGGGAGACATGTAGCCGGAGTCCGCCCCCGGGGACAGGGGAATTGCGGATGCCGCCGATTGTTGCTGCTGCTGCTGCTGCTTCTGCTGCTGGTGCTGGTGAAGGATCAGCGAGGCAAGCACCGAGTGGCTCTGCTCCAGGGAAGCCCCTTGGCTTAGCAGACTGGCAAGAAGAAGATGCTGCTGGGAGAGGCTGGCCACTGCGGACTCATTGCCAGCCAGCTGCGACGTCAATGGCTGGCCCAGTAGGGTTCCTGAGGAGGGACTCAGAAGGGCAGGCGGTGCCGAGCGGGGGGCGTAGGCGGCGGCCGCCGCCGCCGCTGCCGCTGCCGCTGCCGATGCCGCCGCTGCCGCTGCCGATGCCGATGCCGATGGCGAAGAGGCCCCGCTTGTCTGAGCGTCAAACAGACTGGCCAGGAGGCTGGCCGGCACCGATGGCACGCCAGCCGACAATGGGGACATGACGCCGCCGCCGGTAACCGGCGATTGGGGATCCCCCTCCTGGTTGATCGAGAAAACATGCTGGCCAGCGGCCGCGGCCGAGGCATTGGCCAGGCGGGTGTCCACCGACACCATGGGCGGGAAAGGCTTGCGCTTTTTGCCCTGGTTGGCGGCCGACTTGTAGGCGGCCATGGGCAGACGGGCACGCGCTGTCGTTGGGGACAGGGTTGCCGCGGCGGCGGCCGCCGCCGAACTGGTCGCCGGGCTGCTCGGCCCGCCGGTCGAAGCTCGCAAGCCAGCAAGCTTCTTGTCCCCACCAGCCTCCAGGACAACCCGGGGGTTGACCATCGGCGTGTCGCTCGGGGTGGCACTGGCAAACAGGGAGTCCAGTGACTGGGCCGCATCGCGCGAGGCTGTGGTGCTGGTGTAGATGGACAGGCCAGCGCTGGCATTCCCGCCAGCCACCGTGGCCATTGGGGGCGACAGTGATCCCGAGAGAGAAACGCAACCCGGCGCGGGCAGACTCAAATCCATGGGATTGGGCCCCAGCGTCGTGGGGGTGGACAACTGCTGGGGCTGCGAGTGGGACAGATTAGGTTGCTGCTGCTGCTGCTGCTGCTGCTGTGCCTCCTGCGTCGGGGGTTGCGTCGGCGGCACCGATTGCGACAGCGGCGCCGAGTCGGCTTGGAATTGCTGGATCGAGAGGAGCAAGCGGAAGATGTCGCCGCGGGCCTCGGCCGACAGGCCGGCCAGCGACTCCAGCTGCAGCGACTCGTCGGCTTGCAGCAGAATCAGCACCATGACCACCGGCATGGAGTGCAGCTTGGTGAGGATCTCAATGCGCTGTGCGCGAGACTGCTGGGACACGCTGGTGCACAACTGCCGGACCGTCTCGGCCGGGGTCCCGGGCACCGAGGCAAGGAGAAGCGGCTCCAGCGAGGCCAGTTGCGGGGACCGGAGGAGCTGCACCAGCAGCAGGCACTGCTTGGCCAGGTCAACCCCGGCGAAGATGCCCTGCGATGAGTCGCCCGCGCGTGGGTGCTGCCACGGGGCGGTAGCCGAGCTTGGCGATCCGGTGGCCATGGACTTGAGGGATGTGTGATAGGGGGCCGATTGGGACCGGGGAAGTCGCGAAAGCCCAGGCTCCAGGGAGAAGCCACCGAGACCAGACCCGAGGGGAGGGGAGGTGGCGGTGGGGGCGGCTGCTGTGGCGGTGGAGGCGGCCGCCGCCGCGGCAGCCGCGGCCACCGCCTTGTCCAGCAGGGCACTGGGCGAGACCATCAGCCCGGGCAAGGGGGACCGGGTCGGCGCCGGAGCCGGGGCCGCCGGCGCAAGGGAGCCGGCATTGGTGAGGGAGGCCAGATCGCTGGGGGTACTTTGGCCGGGGGATGCCATGCTATCGCTGGCCGAGAGAAGCGTGGTGGCCGATGGCGAAAGGTTGGGATGGTGGATGAGGAGCTCGGCGGCCGAGGAGAGCGCATCCAGCGGCGAGGCAAAGGACATGCGCAGTGCAGACCCATTCGTGGGGTTGGTGGCAACGGTGGCCGGGGCGGGCTCACCGGCGGTAGGAGTGGCAGAGCCAGAGAGGGACATCATGTTGCATGATGAGCCGGCGGTGTCCGCCAACATGGGGGTAGTATTCGCCTTCCTTCTCAATCAAGGGGATGATGGTACTCTCGATGATGGGGCGGGGCGGGGCGGGGG